TCCGTCGGGGCACCCACCGCAGAGGGCGAGGGCGGCGAGGAGCACGAGCTGCAGCATCTTCATCATCGTCCTCGTCCCGGGGCGCGGCGGAGGCGGCGGGAGCGGGGGCTGCGGCGCGGCCGCTTTAACGGGGCCGGCGAGGGAGGGGCGGGAAGGAAAGCAGGTGCCGCGGCCCCCCCGGGCGGCCTTGGACCCTCTGCCAGAGCACACACGGCCCGAGGGCAAGGCCGGAGCGCCCCGGGCACGGCCCGAGTGCCCCCCGGCTCTGGGGCCTTGGACACCCCCCGAGTGCCCCCCGGCTCCGCTGCCCTTCCCCACTCCTGTCCCGAGTTTGTCCCGCTCTCAGCCCCCGGGATGCTCCTCCTGGGGCTCATCCACGGCCCGGATTTGGGGGATGGTCCCAGGGTTTGGTCCAAGCCCTGAAGGTGCCACATCGGGATGGGGAAATGGAGGCAAACCCAGGGAACGACCTTCCCCCCCTCCCCAACCCCCCAGGGCTGGATCAGGAGATTCCCCCTCCCCCCCAGGGGCCTTCTTTTGGGGATAAACGGGACACCCACCAGGTCTGGAATAAAACCCGGATTTGGGGCCAAAACTGTGACGTTTTCTACCCCTTCAGCTCCGACTTGGGGCTGTTTTGGGGGAACCTTTGGCCTCGAGGTGCAGGCGCTGGCAAACAGCCCTCGGGGTCACGGGGACCGTCGTGTGCCCAGGGCAACAAAGCTGCGGGAATTCCAGAGCACCTGGAGCAGTTCTGCCCTTATCTCCAGGAAAACAGGAGGGTTGCCGGGAACACGATCCCCCCACACTCGGGGTTGTTTGATCGGCCCCGAGGGAGGGGCAGGGACGGAAGCAAAGGGTCCCACCTGGGGACAGCCCGACCCGAGGGAACCCCCCCCAGGGGACACGAAGGGCTGTGACCCCATTTTGGGGCCAAAAAGGTGGGATTGGGGCATTAATGATGGGTTTGGGGCTGTGCTGTGCAGGGCCAGGAGTTGGACTCGAGGATCTTTGTTGGATCCCCTCCAACACCGAACATTCCAAGATTCTGTGATCCCTGTGGATCCCTCCCAACTCAGATATCCCAGGATTCCATGATCCCGGAGGTCAGGGAGCGCCTGGACCACCCAGATCCATTGGGATTGGGGTATTTTGGGGTTTTGGGGCTGTTCTGTGCAGGGCCAGGAGCTGGACAGAACGTTCCTGGTGAGTCCCCCCCAACTCCACACGTCCCACAGTTCTGGGACACTCGTGGGTTCTCTCCAGCTCCGGCCATTCCACGATCCCGGGATTCCGGAGGGCAGGGAGCACTTGGACAGCACTCTTGGCCAGTGGGATTTTGGGGGGTTGGGGTTTGTCCTTTGCAGAGCCAAGAGTGGATGTCGATGATCCCTGTGGGTCCCTCCCAGCTCAGGATAATCCATGATCCTCATGGATCCCTCCCAGCTCTGGATATTCCATGATCCTCATGGATCCCTCCCAACCCTGGATATTCCATGATCCTCATGGATCCCTCCCCA